TGGGGCTGGGATCCAGATGCATTTTCCCATGAAACAGCCAGTCCACGCTTGGCGGCTTTTATTTAGTAGAACACTTTCTGTGCTCTGTGTGTAACTCACGAAGCAGTAAAAACCAGAGCCAAACATTGTATATCGACTTCTGTGCGCGCACACCTTGTCCTTTCTTGCCATTAACAAATGACTAAGTGGCCAATTCAAAATCTTATACTTCGTAAGCTTAAAAATCTCTCGTGTAAAGTAAGTCACTAGGATACAACTACAAATGAACTATGAACGGCTGGAAGTGTGGTGGAAGGAAACAATTTTGGTGCACAATTCTCACCCTTTCGTAGCTCTTTGTTCAAATAATGCGCAAACTTTTGGTGAAATTCCAACAGCAAGTCGAGCGCAACGGCCAATCAACAGTTGGGAGCTTTCGCGTCTACCTTGTACTACGATCTCCTTGGCTAACTGCAGCCGGAAAATAGAAGAGTTGTTTAAAAAATAGACAGATTCCTGAAAAGCAGGTACAGCACAATATTTTACTGAGACGATTTGACGTCTGCCGACTTTTAGTTCCTGGCTTCCAGATATTATCAAGCTTGCAGCTTCGCTACCGGCAATCAGCAGCAATGCATGCGACAACTTGGTCCTCGGTTAAAGGGACTGCCGGAAATGGCAACCAAGCACGAGTTTTCTCACGTTCTGCCACATGTGCGCTCGTCCTCCAGAAATACTTGACATGCTCCAAACCCATTGAACACCTCTGCTATCATACTCCTATTAATTATTAAGTGTTACGCAGAGCCTTGCACATATGTTTCTCCTTTTTGAGCTTTTGCCCCTCTCACGTTCTTGGAAAGCACGCTTTTCTCTCTTGATTAGATCAGCGATAGGGCAAGGTCAAGCCGTTGTCTATTTTCATGGGAATTATTATTGGAGGCCACAATTGCACTCAGTGAGTTGCACGCTGTAGACACTACCTTTTACCTTTTAAAGACGTCCGGAGCTATCAAGAGCCTGCATGACTGTCAGAAAGAAGGAGGTGACCCTTTGTAATGCACACCGTTCTCTGCTGCTACTATGTTACTACCTAACCCACGAATAGGGCACCCTTTTGACAACTCCACTACATTCGACACATTTCTCATAAACCACACCAAATTGTTAAACAGTCATCTTTCAAGTTCTCGATCCCATTTTCCTGAAAGTGGCCTTCTCAAAGTTCTTGCTTTCTTGGCCCGGCTGGGACGGTGCCCTGCTTCGGTGCTGATGTTAGCGCCAGCTTCAATTTTACGGTATTTACAAACGCTTCTAGTTTAAACATGCTATCTTTCGAATAACTTGCCTTAATTCGTTATTAGTAAGTAGTGTCTGCGCCCGTCCTGTTTTCTGATAGCTCATTAATCACTGGTTAGGTAACTGGGCTGGCTAGGTGAGAACCCGATTGTAGTGGCTGCGCACTGAGCCCTCTGTACAGATGATATCTACATAACTGTGTCTCATCCGTTCTCACTCCTCAGTACAACGGAATATATGTCGATGAGACGATGGGAACCAAAACTAAGGCAACTTGCTATGCCAGTTGGGCGAACCAGGGGAGCAATCTGCGCGCTTTTCTATATATTTTCGCACTGAATGCAAACTTGGGAGCTCGGGTTTCGTTGGCAAAGCTCTCCCAATTCGCTCTGTCTTGTATGATAGACCGGCTTTCGAGCGACGTGAAGATTTGGGAATCCATGTTAGGAAGACCATAGTCATATGTTCCCTGAACATTGCCGAATGTGTAACTTGTGCTTGCGCTGGCCAGCCTCGCTAGTATATGCATCCACAGTACCACCTGTGGCGTCGCATACATTTCGTATCGCGTAGGGGTTGGACATAGGAGCGCCATTGTTTCGCGAGTCTTCATGATCGGCTCCTGCAGAGCTGGAGCGTCGTTTGCCTGCTCCGCCGGGGGCGTAGATGAAGCCTGTTTATGCCTGCTACCCTCTTTTCCCGTTTGACTAATGCACGCTATGGAGCGATCAGAATATCTCGCGTTCACTTAACTTTTAAGCTTCTAAAACAGATAGCATGAAGATGTGGTATGAGAGGCAAACAAATTTGCTGGAAAACAATTGAATGTTGAATAAGCTTTCCGAGGAAATCACTCGGAAGCACTTCATTGACCCAGTCACATTGTTACTGCAGCCGGCGGCCGGCGGGCGATAAGTTGTCAAGGTATCGCCGTCAGCTAGCTTCACATTTATTAAAAACCCGCAATGGTGTGAGCTGTACCGGGTTCAAGTAGCGCACCAGGATCATAGTAGCGTTTTATAGTTTAGGCCAATGATACTTACTTACATGATTATTATCCCACAGCATCAGGCAACTCGGTTTTCCCTAATCTGGCCCTCACACAGCATTCCTATCTGCCAGCACGCAAAAGCTTGGCAAGGCGGAGGCACTTGGCGCCCTGTCGGGCGTCAACCGTCACAGCCCGCTTAACAATCTGTCTGTTGCCCCAAAATTCCTATATACGTGGTCTCCGTAATAGTGGGTACGCTCCTTCATTTTATTTGCCTTTTCTTTATCTTTTCTGTCACATAAGTGGAGACAAGGTATTTGACTCTCAGGGACGTTTTGAGCCTTGGAACAGGGTTTCATCGCCCTCAGTTTCCCTCTCGTGAATGCCATCCTGCAGGTTATCACATTCTTGCGAATCGCCCTTAGTTTCCCTCTCGTGAATATCTTCCTGCACGTTATTACATTCTTGCGAGTGGCGCCACTCGTGGGCATAGATCATTTGCAATCAGCATTTCATGTTGCGGCTCCTCCTGTATTTTTTCCCGTGTTCCAACAATCGATTTAAACGCAGCTGCCAGGGCTTGCCAGACAGTGAAAATCGCGTGGGGTGTTCTCACCAGAACTATGACTATTTGTGGCAAAGCTTTGCTTTAAAGTTGCCTAGGTAGGCAGGCGAGAGAGCATCACTTTCGCCCAGTATGAGTGAGAACTTTGCTGCAAAGTGTGAAAATTCTCCCATCCACTTCACTTTTGTCAGACGGGCTTTATTGCCCCCCGGGACTTGCAAACTAGCAAAATCTGGTATGCAGCTTCTTTTCCCTCCTCCTTGCTACTCCAAAATTCGACAGCAAACAGAGTAAGCAACTTGATAGTCCAGTGCAGCCCTAGTTGAGTGCCGGAGCATCTTAACTGTTCATTCACTGGAGGTTGTTTTTGCCTCCTTGCGTTTCACCTACACCGAATCCGTGCTTTTCCACAGCACACTGGACGATCAGTGCCTTCAAATCGGTAGAGTGCAGCATTTCATTTAAGATTTTGATATGGGTATAGGGTTCCGCGCGTGCTCATTATCTGTTAGAGAGTGCTAAGCAATTTCCTTTCTGCTGTTGATGTGTGTATTGCTATCTACAGCAGTTATCTGGCTGTCATGCGCTTTGCTGGCCTGAACCGAGCCCGCGATTGGTATTTGCTCTTTTGTCGTGCATGCTTGTATTTAACTCTGAATCTGAGTGTCTCGCTGGTAAATCCACAGAAAGTCATTTGAGATGCAATGTAAGTCTTTACTTTTACCTTACCGGCCTCTAATTGTAGTGGCTGATACCCAGCAACCTACGTCTAACCTTTTGGCAAAAAACGCGAAATGAAAGTAGTCAGAAAGACCGAACAAACGACAAAGTAGTGCTGGACTTTGTTCAGACACGTGGTGAGGTGCACAAGGTCTCTGAGCAAGAGGTTGGGTTCTTCCAGAACAGTTTCGCGGCCTAGCACTCTCAGAGCCCCGTATTTTCTATGTTTTATAGCTTGCATCTAGCTTGGGCTGGCTTAGGATTAGTTATTTCAGTCCTCAGGACAGCTTTTGTGATTCGGTGTAGTGCGTATCACTAAACTGCCTCCACTCCAAGCCCTGAAAACTGGCAGCTGCAGCCCCGCACCTCAGCAAAAGCTCTCCTCAGTTTTTCAGTAGCAACCTACTTTGCATGCAGCTCTTTCTTTAAGAGATGCAGAACCGTTCTATGGAGCGCAAAGGCAGCAATCGAATCAGCTGTTGAGGGATTAGAGCCTGAAACGACAAGTTGAGACACTTCAAAGTGTAAGGGAGGACACAAATCTCGAAATTCAAAGAAGGCCACTCAGCTCTAGTTAATAAAGCGCAAATACTTGTATGAGAACTTCTTTAGAAGCTTGTGTAAAGCCTGAGTCCTACACTTAGCAGAAGAGAAAGGCACAGTGCTCGAGCTAGCTTCTCATAGAGAAGTGCTACGTTGCGGTGCTGCGCACTTCGCTGAGTCTCAGCGCAGCCCTACTTAGTATTTAATGCAGCACAAGCAGGTAGGACTTAGGACTTATTAGACTTCAAAACTTTCTTTTGCGGCAAAAGGGAGAGGCTAGCACTCATGCCAAGGTGACCCCACAAGTGCCGGGGACTGCAGAGAAAGGGGAATGTCTTATCTCCTGAGTCTACTGGACCTGTCTGCCCCCAAACTGGGCTGCAGGTGCCCTCCCCTAAATGTTTATAAACAGCTTCTTTGACTGCCTAGAGCCTTGGCTTGTGCTGTGTTCACTAAAGGCTTCTTCCGTCCCGCATTGCCTCTCAAAGAGCCGCGCTAGGGCCCCCGAGGCCCCTTAACAGCTCTAATAACCCAGCAGAGCAGGGCAGAAGGGAGGGGGCCCCCTCCCTTCTGTTCTAAGCAGCAAAAGATTCACTTCTGAGACCCTCCAATACCCCTTAGAGGCCTCGAGCCTGCGCTGTGTTGGCCGCAGGGGGCCCCTTGGGGCCCCCTGGCTTTTGTTCTGGGCCTACAGGCCGCCCGGGCCTCCGTTTCCCAGGCCCTGCAGGGCTTGGCTGCTGCTGCTTTGTGTCTGTGGGTCTTAGTTACTGGCAAAGCAGCCCGAGGCAGCAGCAGCAGCAGCAAAATTTGCTGCAATCGGAGCTCCCCACAAAGGAGGGCTGAGCTGCTGCAGCCCCCGTCCCCCCGGAAGCAGATCCTCTCAACCTGGGCCTCTTTTAGTGTTTAAAATGCAGCGAAAGAGGATTCTTTTAGCCCCACAGCGTGGGGGCCCCTGGGGCAGTGGGGGGCAGCCCGTGCTGCAGCAGCAGCAGCAGAGCTCCGCGCTGTCTCTCCGTCGCTGGGGGCCCTGAAGAGCCAAAAGCGGAACTTAAGGGCCCCCAAGGGCCGCAGGGGTCCCAGAGGCCCCCAAGGGCCCCCTAGGGAAGAGACAGACCGGGGGAGGGCCCCGGGACGGGCTGCAGCAGCAGCAGCAGCTGAGGGGAAGCAGCAGCAGGCGCCCCCGGCGACGGGGCCTGGCTTCTGGTGTGGCTGGCTGGGTGAGCTGTGCTGCCAGGAATTGGGTCTTGTGCATAAAAAGCGATTTATTTTCCTTTTATTTTGCCAGTTTTTGAAGAAAAAGATCTTTTTGACCTCCAGGCTCTTCGCCGCAGCGAGAGGTGGGCTTGTGCATGGGGCCGTCGGCTGGTGCAGCATCGGGCGGTCTTCTTTTCTCTCTTTGTCTCATTTCTCTTTTCTCTCTTTTTCATTACGTGAACTCTGCACGGGATTTCGTGCGTCCATCCCCCGCGGGCCTGCCTCGCGGCTGCTGCTGCTGCTGCTGCGGCCGATGCTGCTGCGGGAGCTGCGCGCCGCCCGTTCCCGCTGCTGCTGCAGCAGCAGCAGGCCCGCAGCGGCGCTGCATGCGCTGCAACAGCAGTTTCGCGCCGCAGGACAGCACCAAGAGAACCCCTGCGCCGCAGCTGTGGGGCCCCTCCTTGTGGGGAAAAGGCGGGGTTGGTGTTTGTTTCATTTTGGGTTTTAGGGCCCCCCGGGGGCCCCCCAGTTCGTCTCTTTAGGCTGCGCTGGGTGTGCCCTGCGTATGTGCGGGACTGCAGGTCTCCAGCCGCTGCGCGCTCGCTGCCCCCGCTGCTGCTGCTGCTGCTGCTGCTGCTGCTGCTGCTGCTGCGGCCCAAGATGAACGCCCAAGGCAGAGGCGAAGGGCCAGACAGGCCAGAAGACCAGCGCTCTCTTTCGAGGGGGCGGGGAATGTCGCAAGACGGGGAGGGGGGCCCCCGGGGGGCCTCTAGGGGCCCCTCTAGGGGCCCCTCTAGGGGCCCCTCCAGG